TTTGTCTTTATCCAAGTGACCCTGTTAAGTTCAGCATTCCAGCACTCAACTAGGCGCATCAGTGACCCAGTCAAACGTGAACCATCTAATATCTATTATTTTCTGTCCGTCCAGGAGGGTTACTATTTCCTTTATAATTCACGATTCGCGTAAGTTCTGTTGGTTATTTTACGTTAAGTCTGGAACGAATAATCTCAGAAGTTCTGATAAAGACTGCACTTTGTGGAAGATATATGAATGTCATTTTCAATCAGAAGACATTCGGACAACATGCCGAACTGTTTGCTCACTCTTATGTGCCGCCCACCCTAGTTGTGCAAAAAACTGGCGTGCTGTGTGGGGCCATGTTGTGTGCATGGCACGCGCAGTCGAGCTCTCTAACTCTGTCAGCCACCGCGCTCGTTCCCTACATCGCACAACTGACTGGTTGTGATAGTAAATTGGTGTCTGGGAGAGGGAAGAGAGAATAACTTCGCTATTCTCAGCGCATATTCCTCAGTATTAGCAACCTGAAGCTCTCGAGACCATCACAACGCATTAAAGACTGTGGCACAGAATGGTTGAAAGTGAGGACTCAACTCAGACCTCGCAGTTAGCTCCGTGTGTGTTTGTCTGGAGTGTCCGACTGATGGACTGAGAGCGAGGTTTCAGTGGCTCTTTCTTAATGCGGCCTTCGTGGTACTGCCAATCATTGCGATCCAAATGGCTCCCTCTTTTGGTGTGTGAAATCCTGGTCCTTTGGTGTGTGTATGTGTGTGTGTGTGTTTGTGTGAACGGGAATCCTCAGCATCTACGCCATACTGAGACAAATGCAGCTGCGCTGGAGCGGCCACCTGGTGCGCATGGACGACGAGCGACTACCCAAACGACTCTTCTACGGAGACGTCGCGACGGGTTCTGGCCGTCAAGGAGGCCAAATTCGCCGTTACAAGGATACTCTGAAGTCCTCCCTGAAGCGTCTGCAAATCAACCCGACCAACTGGGAAGAGCTCGCACTCGATCGACCGACCTGGAGTAGGACAGTGAAGACAGGCGCTGCGATCTACGAAGCCAATCGCATCGCTGCCGCCAAGGCGAAACGCGAAGCCCGCAAATCCCAACTTCGCCCAGTGCGCAACACCGCCGCACAATCGCTTCCAACGTGTCCTCGATGTCAACGGACATTCCGGGCTCGAATGGGACTTGTTGGACACCTTCGGATCAACTGTGCCTCTCGAACTGCACCAACCATCGTCCCGCTGCCCGCCTCTTCTTCCCCTCCGCCGCCAACTAACTCTGACATTTCTTCTCAACCACCACTTCCATCATCCTCCTCCCCCACTGCCCCAGCGGCGGCCTCTCAGGCGGCCGTCTCGCACATCAACCCCGACACAACAACCGACACCACCCCCACCTCTCCCGATTCCAGTAATGAGGATCAGGACTACACCTGCCCTCACTGCGATCGCACCTTCACCTCACGCATCGGCCTGGTCGGTCACTTGCGAATTCATCGCACAGAGACTGGCGAGCCAGTGCCTGGAGCACCAACCTGCACCCACCGCACTCGCCTCCAATGCCCACACTGCCCTCGCACCTTCACTCACCGCATGGGTCTATTCGGCCACATGCGCATCCACGAGAGCGGAATTGACCGCAACCTCGATACACCCACCCCGCCGAGCCCCACTCCCAACTCATCACCTTGCGCACCCACCAACCACTCCCCAACCGACATCGACGCCGCCGACTCTACCACCCCTCACTCCTCCCCGTCCTCCTCCTCTTCCTCCTTCACTGCCACAACGACGGCCACCCCGGCGTCTGTAGCGCACGACTTCACCACAGCCGCACCTGACACAACAACAGGCACAACCCGTGCAACCTCCATCATCAGAGGTGAGGGCCAGGACTACATCTGCCCTCACTGCGATCGCACCTTCACTTCCCGCATCGGCCTGGTCGGTCACTTGCGAATCCATCGCACAGAGCTTGGCGAACCAGTGCCTGGAGCACCAACCTACACCCACCGCACTCGCCTCCACTGCCCACACTGCCCTTGCACCTTCATGCACCGCATGGGTCTATTCGGCCACATGCGCATCCACGACGACCTGCGGTAGACAGCCGCCGATTACACCACACATTCACACACTCCATACCCTCCTCCACCATCACCACTACGCATCAACACTCACCCACCGCATGCACCAACTGCCACCTTCCACGCAAGTGGGAAGTGTGCATCTCGACTCGGTCCCCATGCGGCCTCGGCTGCACGGGTGACTTGAGTCCGAGGCTATCCCGACACGTCAAGTGTCGTGGACAGGAAGGTTGCTGATTGACGCCCGTTCTCGGTTCATGCAGTTCGTCACGTTGTGTGTGTGTGTGTGTTGTGTGGAGTGGCGGACTGGTGGGCTGGGGACGGGCTGAAGCAGCACCTTCCACAGCCCTCTCACGCAAGTGGGAGACACGCCGTTCAACCCCCGTTGTGTGAAATCCTGGTGTTTGTGTGTGCATGGGGGGCCAGGTCGTGCTGTAGCGCGCGCAGGCGTGGTCACTCGATCATGTCAGCCACCGCGCCCATTCCCCGCTTCAGTCTACTGATCGGCTCGGACAGTGGCTGGGGTGTGGGGATGGGAAGGGAGAGTGAGGTCGACGACTCAGCGCATTCTCCTCACTATAAACAATCTGACGCGCTTGAAGCTATCACGGTGCGCTAAAAGCCGTGGCTTGGAAGGTTGCCTACTGACGGGGTACCTTGGACCTCCTCCTTAACTGGAGGCGGTCTGAGAGTCAGGCTGCAATGGCTCCTTCTTAATGTGGCCTTTATGGCACTCCTACCACAGTGTGGGATCCGAGCCAGGCGTTGGCGGCACGCCTAGGTGCGGCTTCGGCCGTGCCAGCCTCCAAATCTCTGTTGTGTTGGTTGAAATCGTGGTCATTTGTTTTGTGGACCAGGGGGTGTGGTGGAGCGCCAAGGTGAGGATCTGTCCGAGCCATCCACCTGCGGCCTCCCTCGTCTCCGGTCTTCTTGACTTGGTCTTGACACCGGGCACAGGCGGGGGAGGAGGAGAGAGTGTAAGAAGATGCTACGCAAATCTACTGGCACTATAAACCCCCGCGTAAGTCGCCGTCCCTGCTCTCACAATGCAGTCTGTGGGGCACACGGTGGACATCGTCGAAATCGACGGTCGAACTGTCGTGTGTGTGTGTGTGTGTGTGTGTGTGTGTGTGTGTGTGTGTGTGTGTGTGGACGAAGGATATGAGGGTACGCCTAAGCGCAGGCTCATGCCGCACCAGCCACCTACACACGTTCCCACCTCCGGTCTTCCTGACTCTATCTTGGCACCTGACCCAGGTGAGCAAAATAGGAGAGAGTGGTGGATGCAATGCAGGTTTACTATCATTATAAACTAATTCCTGCTCAAGTCACCGTCCCGCGCCCACTCTGCTTTGAAGCACAAAGTGGACATCGTCAGAAAGGACAGTCAAATTGTCATGTAAAAATACCAACAAAACTGGAAGTTGTTCCTCAGCACAAAAACACTGATTTAACTTTCCTGGATCTTCTCATGCATAGAGGATAGGATGACTCTATTCGGAGGACGATTTTTCAGAGGTCAACTGAAAATGGAAATGTCTGCATCCCACGTGCCTCGTCTAATTTCAAATAAATGTACTTAGACTTCTTCCTTTTCCGTTGTGACATCAGAATACGTTCTACTCGGGTTGTAAATGAAGTGTTCAATTTTCTCAGAATCGCCCTTGAGGGGAATCCTTAGATATTTCTCAAGAATTAACCAACGTAGCGAAGTGAAAACAGCTGAACTCTCGATCCCGAACAACGCAGCGACATTGCCTCCCTCTATGGTAATAAAATCTGTCGTTTGGTCAAATAAATATTTCATAGCACAAGTGAATGAACATTCAAGCGCAAATCTAGATTGCAAACCCGCCGATATAACAGATGTCAAGATGGCTGGTAGGGTCAAAAATACGATAACAGAATGCCCCGCCGCAAGTCACCCACTGGACACTGGCATTACAACTGGCCCAAGGGTGGCTTTTAATATTATTAAAATAGTCCGCGTCGCCTACGCTACTCGGAGACCGCGGAATTGCATACAAGGAAAGGCTGAGTCGGGCAAGATGCTGAATCGCGTGATTAACTTCGCACCGATCTGGCCACGAGCAGCGAGTAATTAGCGTCCTGTCCCCCTTTTCAGGCCTACCATCGCATGACTAATTTTCACCAACTATAATTCCGCGTTTTTATTATAGACGACTTTTTGCTGAGCTCTGCTGCTGTAATAAATCAGACCCACGGTTGTGTACATATGAGCAGAGGTCACAGGCGGCTGGATGGAATCTCATTAAACTGAGTAGCACCATTTAACGCTCCCCCTGACAACTGCGACATTCGAATATCGCATCAGAATTTTCAATGTGGAAACTCGCGGCTCAAATTAACTGCCTCGCTCTTTAGTCCCCAAAGAAATATAATCGAATATTAACCTCTAGACAGTGTTTCTACGGAGAAAATTGCATGACCGTTCCTGATTTTTTCGCGATTATCAGCCAGATGGTTGAATCTCGTTCTGGGAAACTTTACATCGCTTCACTTTCTTCCCTGAGGTGTCTCGAGAGTCATTTTTTGATTGTTTATCTTCTGAATCAACGTTTCACTGAATTTGTTTTGGAATTTCACCGCGTGAGAGCAGCATACGGTCCAATCTCCTTTTTCAGGACCGAGCACGCGCATCTCGACTGCCTCACAATCGGGGTGAAAATCATCCCCGAGGATCACATGGGAGCAAAAATCAACGCGCAGAAAACCCCTCCGTCCAAGTGACCTTGGAGCGGCAGAGGACGGATGTTCATCTCCAATAATGCGTCCTTGTCTACTAAGTCATAGGTAGCATGCCCTCATCATAAAACAGTCCAGCTTGGCCATAGCTCCGATTGCGTGCCAGTCAGGCAGGTTGTAGCCTAGTCTCTACTCAGCGTAGATATATAAATACGCGCTCCCATGATAATAAAAGGGGTTAGATTGACACAGATGTCACCGGGCCTACAGTTCATGTCCAGACTGCTAAATTCTGACTACAGTGAGGACCTTTGGCGGGAAGGCGTGAAGAACTAGCAACCAGTTTCCTGTCATCTTAGATTGTCCCACCCAGTTCCTGCCTTCGGGCTGGGCTAGCTCCTCAGCCCTGTCTTTTTTTATTAGAGACTCTACTGTCTAACCAGCATCATTTAAGATAGAGTCTACAGAAAGAGAAATTCCCTTTCTTGCTGTTGAAGTATTCTATGCATTAAACAGTCGCCAAGACAGCGGACTTCCATGTAAGTACTATCAGATACATAAAATGCGTGAAGATAGTGGTTTACCTCTGGCACTCTGACTGGCCGTTAGGTCGAGTCTGCGCTTGCAGGTCTCCATAACACTTTCGTAAACTGTACAAAAAATAGACACCAATAAACGCTATTTTCAAGTTTATTCTTAACATCGTCAAAGTGGATTGAAATTTGCGGAAAGCCAAGTCTGCTTCTGTGTAAAAGGCGTCAACTTAAATTTCTGGGTTTTGTGCTTGTTAGCTAATTCCGGTTATTCAATCGAAAATGCCTTAGGTAGCGTGTTTACTTAAATAACTGGCTTATTCGGCTCAAGGGCCGAACAGGTGACTTTGCTATGCTCACTTTAAAACTACGGTGGCTACATCATGCAAAGTCCTGTACTAAGTTCTTAATCACTCACGGAGCCGATTCGTGTGGCCTGATTACCGTAATCTCCCTTGTTGAAAATGGGCACCCTTCAAGGCACACTGGGTGTCCCAGTAGGACTTTGAGGGCTGCCAATCACCTATGCCTAAAGTGCTCAGTCATAGTCCAAGACTTAAGGAAAGAGGTACTCACGATCAGAGTGCAAAATGCTCTTAAGGGTTGGTGTTGATATTAGTAAAGTACCGATTGACTCCACAGGCGCTTTTGAAACGGGCTGCATTTGAAACGCGAAGGACAGCTTTCTCGAAATCCTAACAGTTTCGCTTATAAGTTCAACGAGAAGAGGGGTATCTTTCCGCTATCATGCTTGAACAGACGTTTTCTTTAAGCTTTCTCAGATTACGGAATCAAAACTCCTGAAATAGGGGCTCTTTTCTGTTGTTATGGTACCCAGTCGCCTGTCCACTGGACACTTTTATAAAGGAACGCAAACACGCTACCATCAATGAAACCTTTTATCGACAAACGTATTTACAAGACATCGTTTCAACGTAAATCTTACTCTAATTCCACCGTATATTATCTTTTTTGTTTACTTTTCTTGTCAGTTATTAAGATAGCGTACGTTTGAAAGGTTCGACAGTAAACACTGTTTCCTACCGCTCGCATAAAAATGTGCCTAAAAATTTAATATCCTGTTGGCTGCAAACGTTTTAAAATATTGCCATTTTGGCGGGTAACAGGCGGAACGGTAAGGGACTGCCTGTTTCAAGTTCATACAGTTACTCCTGTTGATGCGACAGCTGATGGTGTGTAGAGTCAGCAATTCCGTACAATGCTAAAAATAAGACATGAAGTAAACGCTAAAATATAGCATTTTTAGAGTACTCCTCAAAAATTGTAGCAAGAATTCCAGCCTGATTAAATCAGCGTTCATGGTGTACTCACGCGATGTCCACCTCAGGCAGCGTCCAATGTACTCATTAAATGCACCTGTATACCACAGAAGAATCGGTGGATATTGCGGCGCGTGTCCGAGTAAAGGAGTAAATGCAATGACCTATCTACGACAAAATTACGCCTTAGAAACGTTTCCGGCGGCAAATAAAAGTGAGGAGAGCAAGTGAATCAAAGCCCAGAAGAGCTGAATGCTTGGCTGGGCCTGAAAACAGTCCAGCGATGACTGAGATGACATGTAACAGCGAGCGACTATCCTTGAATGACGTATAGTGGGTGTCCAGCGGTAACACGAGTGCAATATTAGGGAAAACCGCCGTAGTATGCGCATTATGATCAGGTCGCTCATAGAATCAGATGGCTGACAGGATCAGACAATCGGCCGGTGCATGGGAGAGGGAAGAGAGAGTCATGTCGACACCCCAGAATCCATTCCCATGGCATCATCGACACATTCCTCACCATAAAATATCTGACGTTCTCGAACATATCCCGACGTGTATAACGTCGTAAGTTGGAGGGCTGCCAAATAACTTACTAACTCGTACTTCTCAGAGCACAGGGTCGGGCTCCAATGGCCCCCTCACAATGTGACCTCAATGGCATTACTACCCAGGAGGCATCTGATTCGCCCCTTGTTTCTGTGACAATCTGGATCATCGTGCGCCAATCAGTTCGTGTGTGGCACACGTCCTAGCTCTGTATTGCCATCAGGCCCAGATGGTTGGGGGGTGTGAGAATAGGGCAGATGTCGCTCAAGTCTGACAGCAGTATAAACTACTTCACACGTGCAAGTCACTGTCCTGCGCCCACCCTGCTGTGAGGCATACGGTGAACATCATCGTTTGCGACGGTCGCACTGTCATGGTGTGGAGGGAGGGTCAGGTTGTGCTGACGGTCATTTCGTCCTAGGTAGCGTTATGTTCTGGCCTTTTCAATCAGGGACAGAAAATGCAAAAATCGCAGGCCAAGCTTGATCTCCGGACTGTGAGTCGAGTGAAGGTAGGATTGGTTTGTAACTGCAGTGACCAACGGTTGTGTGTTCTCAATATTCTTCGACGAGCACAAAGAGCGCGTTCAGCGTACAAACTGTTCGTTCAGATGTAACCGCGTCCAAATACATGCCTGCTGGGACATTTCGCCGGCTGAATGAAAAGTTCTGTCGGGTGAATAAGACACCTTACACTAATAAAGTTGGCTACCGCATTGGCGAAATGGCCCGATGAGTACAGTTTTCATCATAGAATATAAGTATACATAAATGTGGTAACATGCCTCACTTCCGTTCGCTTAATTTATGCAGAAGAATGCGAGAGAGAGAGAGAGAGATCGAGCGAGCGAGCGAGCGAGGGAGAGAGAGCAGGGAGAGGTTGACAACGTTTCTATTCTGTGCTAGTCCAATGTTTAGTGTAGGATTCTTAAAACCGGACTAGTGGAAAGATGCAAATTTTATTACCCTTTTAAACACTCGATGAAATGAATCCTGTGCCTGTTATGGTTTTAAGATAGAAAATGTCCATGTGAGAAGAGAGTGGACAAAACAACGTCTCCGTTTCGACGTGAGTTAACCCGACTCCGACCTCCTCCACCCATCTCCGCATTCCCTCCCCACTCGCACTATTCCATAGCCCCTTATTCGCCGCTTTCGGGTTAATTTAACATCTGAAGATTTCAGTCATTCTTCTCCCTTGAGACTAACTTGTTACTCCTCAATGGCGATTGCGGAGGTCTTGCTTGCCCTACAGAGAATTCCACTGACCGAGAACCCATCAACCCCTGGACAATACACAAACCCGCCCTACATCACGTGACACATGCATAAAGCACGCAACCCTCATGTCAGAGGGAAGTGTGTTCTTTAGTGGAACCTGATGCCAGACCAGAGCGTCCCTGGCGCGCGCGTAAACGGGTTGTCGTAGCGCTGGCCGTCACTGCGTCTAATCCCAACACCGGATGACTGACCGATTCGGACTGTGGATTGGTGCGTTGGAGAGGGAAAGGAGAGTGCGGTCGCCACTGGGGGACTCACTTCCACAACATATCAGCGCATTCCCCGACTATAATTGATTTGACGCTCTACAAAACTGTCACGGTGCTCTAAAAGTCGTGTCTTGGAAGGCTGTCTACTGACCGGATCACTACGCTCTCGTAGTCAGTACTGTGTTTGCGTTTGGGAGCGTGCCCCTAAAACGACCGACACGATAGATTCGCTGGACCAACACGGGGGCTAGATCGGCGCCTGACAGGCATTATTGGGGACCCGCACCCATAATAAGTGCCAACATTCGGGGTGTGACGGTACGCCCAGGTGTAGGCTTATATCACGCAACTTGTGATTCGATCCGCCCCCATTTTTGTTGCTGTTGAAAATCCTGATCAAATGCTTGTTGTGGAACAGGGGTTTTGTTGTACCCCTAGATGCAGGTTTTCGCCGTACCAGCAACCTGCGCCCTCCCCGACCTTTGGTCTTCTTGGCTCTGTCTTGACACCGAGCCCAGGAGGGTGAGGGAAGAGGGAGCGCAAGCTTACTATCATTATAAACTAATCCCCGCTTATTTCACCATCCCTGCTCTCGGCCTGCTCTGGAGCGCACGGTGGACATAGTCGGAAACGGCGGTCGAATTGTCGTATGTGAATTCACTTGCTCAAGGACTGGGAATGAGGCTCAGTGACTCCTATTTGATGCGGCCTCTATGGCAATCCAACAAGCGTGAGATTTAAGACCTAAGTCTAGTAAAAACCATGCAAATCGTACGGGGACCGATTTGGGTACGATATCCGTGGACGGGCTGTATAGCTTTGTCAATCGCTACGCCCGAGCCCATCTCTGCTTGCCTTGACGTTGCCTTACCACCGGAGTCTGGCGGGTGAAGGAGGAGGGGATGCGCCGGATACTGCTCAAGTCTGCCTCACTATAAATTTATTCACGCGCAAGCCGCTCTCCCATGCCCCTCAAGCAGTCGGACACACGACGGAAACCGTCGCTCGCCCACGGTCGGACTCTCAGGGGGGCTAATCCGCGGAAAAGTGGCGAGAAACTTAAAACAGAAAGAGACTGTATGAGAACAGTCTACCGCCGTGTTGAGACGCCCTGTGGTATTCCGGACGCTAAAGTAGCCGAAGCGCAATATTTCAGGAAGTTTTTACAGCCTGGGGCTCTCCCGAGGGCCGAAGTCTGCAGTACTGACATGCAGTGCCACATGCTGTCGGTGTGTCCAAGATCTGTCCAACTGGGGCAAAACAAATGTTCGAGATGACAATTCGTTGGGCATTGAAAAGCTAAACTTAGAGCCCATCCAAAATCCGGCGTTATATACCAGATTGAGTGAAACTGTATCCCGTATCTGCTTTTGTCTCTGATGGTGGATTCGAGAAGGAATCCGAAACGTCAAGCTAATAAAGCTCTTGTCCCAGCGATCGTCCCTCCTTCTTCAAAACTATGGAGTTTAATTGTTGACAAGCGAAACTCAGCTTTATCGGCATTTTAGCAATCGGCATTACTGTGGGCGCACTTATAGGCAGTTAGCATCGCTGTCGTCCGAACATATGTCAAACCAATATTGATTACAGAAGACAAGGTGCCGAACAGTTAAGTCACAAGTTTGGTCTTTACTGTCCTTTGTTGTGTTAGCCACGTCCTTCAGCACCCGCAGCGATGCGGGGGATGAATCCAGGAAAGTTAAAGTAGTTTGGTGGCGAGACCAGCTTCACACTGCCTTGTTAAGGAGACATTTCTAGCATATAAAGAATGCACGCCAGTGCCCGTCATTTCTGTGGGCATTTTGCGTGTCGACTTAATATTTCTTTTCCATATAACGGTTGCAGTTATGCAAAATTCGCCAGCATTCTGTACACGTCAAAGATGCTTTAACTACATATCAATGGCATGGTGTAAGGCGTGCCACATTTCAGTTAACCGATGCATATGCACAAGCGTGGCCTGGCGAAATAGCGGCCTGTTTTTAAGCCAGGGGCCCAAGAAGAAATGCTAAAGGGTTGACCTTCAATAATCGGATTTGTATCAACAAAGACAGGTACATTATAATGATACTGCCAGTGATAGCTCAAAGTACAGGCTGTACATTCTTAGAAAATAAGCAGAAATAGCCATTCCGGTGTGTCGCCCTTGCCGGTAAAAGCATCTCGACTACTGATTGCTAGACGCCACGCGTGGATTTTAGACACTCAACTATGAGCCAAAAATGAAATGTTCATTTTTGTCCTCCAATCAGGATAGATAGACTCATGCCATTTTCGTGTTACAGAGGTAACAAATCAGTATGAGCGCGGCAGTTTGTTTGTGTCTTTAGGTAGAGTAACTGCGGCCTATATTTTAAAGTCGATATTCCACGAGATTTTTGGCTGCTTCCATAGCCAGTACAGTTTGGTCAGAAGAAGCAGCTCACTTGCAGTTAGACAGTCACAAACTGAATTGTAATTAGAGAGCGTTGGGATGTCTAGTTTAGTTTGCCGTTGACTTGGTTAAGCTTCTAGTCAAGTCAGCCCACCGCTAACCAGGACATGTCGAGTCATAACCTGCTTTATCTGATGTAAGCAAGCCCTCCCTAGCGGCCCGGAGGACAGCGGACAGGTTTACAGGCCGCACTGCAGCCACGCGTGTGATGCGGCGTAAAAACAGGCCTATGAGCCGTCGCGATCTATTTTGCTAACTAATGCGGCATCATGGTGGAACGACGACGCGCCTTTTCTCGTACTGCCGTCTCACACGTCCTCCTGCCCTCAACCCTCTCCCCCCTTGCCTGCCCTCTTGCCATGCCTTTGTCTGCCTTCGCTGCGGCGTGCCTTCGATTTTCTATCTCTGTCACCGGGGTTAGGGCGGAGCGATGTCATACGGCGGGGTGTTGAACCTCGTTAACATTTATGCTAAGGAACCTCGGCGTGGCAATGAATTACTTCAAAATGAAAATATCACTCCTTCGTCTGACATTCGACTGCGTCATTACGGCTATCAGGATCGCGCTCTCGGCTGCTCCTGTGGCACTGGTTTTTTTGTCCTGGCACAGTCCGTATTTTACGTGCCCGCGATTGCTACATCGGGGTAAGAAGCGGAAAACTATCTAGCATTGCCTCGAGTCTTACTTTTGAAGAATATGGTCATTTTGCATTGACAGTGCTGTTTTCTACTTAAACCCAGATGTCTACACCTCGGTCGGTCAATGGACCACAATACACACGCCCGTTGGTGGCTTTGCTCGATGGGAGGGATTGTTCCATTGAAATGCCTCTTCTGAAGGACGTGGCTACAGTCGCTTTCTGTGACGCGTCTGCCACGAGCGAAATTCACGAGAAAGTCTTGAACGAGGCCTTCGGAGCCCTCCTATGGCACACAATCAAACTTAATCGAGAGGATCTGCAGAAATTCAAGAGTCTGAAAATCATAGTTCGAATCGGAAGGTAGTACATCTTTGCACTGTTACGAACCCCCCTTTTAGTGGTTACGATAACGTAGACATTAAAGCCGCCGGCGAACTCGGGATTGCTGTCTGCAATGTGCCCGGCTATGGTATTGAAGAGGCAGCCGACACAACTATGTGTCACATACTGACTCTTTACCGTCGGACTTACTGGCTTGCCGACATGGTGAGATCGGGAAAACGAATAAACAATCCGGAGCAGTTAAAAGAAGCTGCTGTCGGGTCAGCAAGGATACGCGGTGACACGCTAGGAATTATTGGTTTGGGTAAGTGCGATCTTTAGGTCAGTCAAATGAATATCCAATCATTGCTCTGTTTACTTGGGGTTGGGTATGACTGGCTGATGGCGGCTAATAAGCCAGAAATGGCCATTCCGGTCTCCCTTTTCTTTGTCGGTATCATCTCATATATGTCTACTACTAGTCGCTGTGCGACTGCCTGCGAGGGTTCTAGTATGAGCCCCAAGGCACAACGGAACGAGCATGTTCCGTAACCTGATCGGCGAGCGTCCACTGTCAGAATTGATATTCCCGATCACAACCGACAGGACAACGGGCCCGTGGCTCAATGGTAGAGCGTCAAACTACATGACCAAAGATCCCGGGTTCGAATCTCAAGTGGTCCACACTTGGGGTTGGGTACGACTGGCTGATGACGGCTA